AAGTCTGACACTGTTTCCCCATCTATTTGTCATGAAGTGATGGAACCAGATGCCATGATCTTAGTTTCTGAATGTTGAGCTTTAAGTCAACTTTTTCACTCTCCTCTTTCACTTTCATCAAGAGGCTCTTTAGTTCTTCCTTACTTTCTGCCATAAGGGTGGTGTCATCTGTATATCTGAGGTTATTGATATTTCTCCCGGCAATCTTGATTCCAGCTTGTACTTCCTCCAGCCCAGCGTTTCTCATGATGTACTCTGCATATAAGTTAAATAAGCAGGGTGACAATATACAGCCTTGTGTGACTCTCTGAGACCCACCAACTGTAGCCCACCAGGCTCCTTGGTCCATGGGATTTCCCAGGCAAGAATATTGAAGTATATTGCCATTTCCTTCTCCAAGGGATTTTTCCAAACCAGGTATAGAACCTGCATCTATGCACTGGCAGAAGTTTCTTTACCACTGAGTCACTGAGGGATACAAATTGATTGTAAAACTGGCTGTAAAGATGGGGAAGGTTATGCTTCATACATTAAAAAGAATTCCTTTTATGGAGACAGTAAGAATAGATGTCAAGGAATAAATAATAAATATACACATAGATTTTATTGGTTGTTAGTTCATGTTTTCCCAAGAGTAACTGGAGACTTCGATAATACTTTCTGCAGGTTGGATTTTAGGGGTGTATCTTAAGGAGGGCTTGCTGTTCTTGCAATATAAACATTTGTTGGAATCGAGTTTTAAAAGGTCTTTTGTTAAAGATAATACCAGGCTTCCCTGGTAGCTCAGCTTGTTAAAGAATCTGCCTACAACGCAGGAGACCTTGGTTCGATTCCTGGGTTGGGAAGATCCCCTAGAGGAAGGCATGGCAAACTACTCTGGTATTCTTGCCTGGAGAATCCCCATGAACAGAGGAGCCTGGAGTGCTACAGTTCATGGGGTCACAAAGAGTCAGACAAGACTGAGCAACTAAGCACAGCAAATATAATACTGGCTCATAGTGAATTATGTCTTGGGAGAACTTCGTGACTTCATTACAATGCATACTTTATCAGTGATGAATAAAAAAAGAATGACTATTTACCTTTCCTCCAAATAATATCATGGGATGAGGACCACTTTGAACCAAAATCCATAGAGAGAGAGGGAGTCCATGTCATGAACAAAGGTGAACTAACATCTGCTCCTAGACCACGAATTGTTTACAATCTAGTCAAAGAGACAAACATGTCAGTATGTTTAATACAAAGCAGAATGAAGTGTATACTAGGCAGACTTATCAGTGCTAAGTAAAGCGACTTGAAAGTATAGAGGAAAGTTGAGCTAGTTCTGCCTGAGGACACTAGGCAAGCCTTCACAGAAGAGTTAGCCACTGACCAGGCTATGAAAAAATGAGATGAGATTTGATAAAGAAAATGCAAGTTAGAATATTCGAACCTGAAGGAATCCCATGATCAAAGACACAAATATATGAAAGGAAATGTCATTTTAATTTTTTCCCTTTGACAATAGTTATTTATATAGCTGTGTAGTCCAAGCACATAGTGTGGGCAGCCACCTATGATGGCTGGTAAGTCTGAGTCCAGAAGTGGGAGCTGAGTACTGAACTTCAGTGAAACTTACCACTGTATTCCTGGACTTTGTTTTGGAGGCTAATGGGAGAGGTGATGGAGTAGTTGGCAGCCCTTCTGTTATGGACTGAATGTTTGTGTCCCCCCAAAATTCATATGTTGTAATCCTAACCCTCCAGTGAGATGGTTTTTTGGAAGTGGGGCCTTTGAGAGATAATTATATCATGTGCATGGAGACCTTATGGGATTAGTGAGTGACCTTATTAGAAGAAACACAAGAGAGTTTCCTTCCAGTCTCTGATCTCCACTATGTGAGGATACAATGAAAAGTCATATTTTGTTATAGCAGCCAGCTGACTAAGACACCTTCTGTTCCCAGGACTGGCCCTTACACTTGGAAAAGTTGAGGATTAGGGAGCCGGCAGGTATCCTATGAAGCACTGTATGGTTTTGCCATAGAATAAACTCTTGATTAGGCTTCCCAGGTGGTGCTAGTGGTAAAGAACCTGCCTGCCAATGTAGAAGACATAAGAGTCGCAGGTTTGATCCCTGTGTCAGGAAGATTCCCTGGAGGAGGGCATGGTAACCCACTCTAGTATTCTTGCCTGGAGAATCCCATGGACAGAGGAGACTGGCGGGCTACAGTCCATAGGGTTGCACAGACTTGGACATGACTGAAGCACCTTAGGATGCAGGCAAACTCTTGATTATGTAGGAAATCACTAGTAAGTTGAATATTTAAATAACCCTAAAATTAAATTTGATCTCATTATATAAAATTCCTTACTTGACTCTTTCTGTAACATCTTAAAAGAAAAATGTGTTTGTCTTTTGTTTATACTGCATCCTCCTACACCTTTCAAGAGAAGGTAAAAGGATCAAATGATGGCCCAAAGAAAAAACAAGGATTCTGGAAAATCACAAAATGTACATGGTAGGTTGCTGCTGCAGCAAACGAAATAAATGTAGCATCCAACACACACCTATGTCAGGCCAGAAGCATGGCCCAATAGTGTATCTCTGATCGCCTTACAAAGAGTTTAGGAAACATTACGATGTTCCCTGCACTTGGGTTATTTGAAAGATCCTTTAAACATGGATTCTTAGTATAAAAATCAATGTCAGGTTTGTCAATAAAGAGAAAGTGTTCTTTAGGAAGACTGACTGCATTCATTAGTGCCAACCATTAATACATAAGTATTATAGAGCATTACTAATAAAGTATTTGAATGAAGAGGCTACTTATTTATAGCAGTGTGGTAATATTTTGGATTAAAATGTATGTTAAATTTATAGACAGATTTATAAATTGTTTTCTGAACATGGTAATATAATTTGACTGATTCTTTATGATCAAAAAAATAATGGATGAGATTTTAGACAGTTTCGCATGAAAATAATCACCGTGGTTTATGTTTTATGCTTGTTAGTTGCCCAGTTGTGTCTGCCTCTTTGCAACCCCATGGATTATAGACCACCAAGCTCATCTGTTCATGCAATTCACCAGGCAAGAATACTGGAGTGGGTAACTATTTTCTTCTTCAGGGGATCTTCCTGACCCAGGGATCGAATCCACATCTCCTGCACTGCAGGCAGCCTCCTGCAGTGCAGGCAGATTCTTTACTGCCTGAGCCACCAGGGAAGCCACTCAGGAGTTGGATTCTTAATTCAGTAGATAAGGGAATAAATCACTGACACTATTAATTGCCTATTCAACATCCACTTTCCCCTTCCTCCTTAGTGACAGATTTTTTTTCTGGATAGTAATATGCTCATCAGAAATTACATTTCTCAGCTTCCATTTCAACTAGGAACTGTTAATGAGACCTAAAGTGGACCTTATTAGGAAGGACTTTCAGGAAAGTTATTTAAGATTGGGCAGACTGCTGGTGAGTCCCATATTGTCTTCTACCTCTCATATTTCCTGCCTGGAATAGCTGGAACTCTAGTAGTCATTTTGGACCTTGAAGTAACCTTAAAGATGCAAGTCAGCAGTAAGGATGGTAGAGCAGATAGATAGGAGCCTGAGTCCCTGATGACACTTAAGGCCATTATGCCATCCTTGTATGTCCTATCTCTAGACTATATTCATATGAGTGGTAATTTATTGTTTTTAAAATGCTATAGTTAAGTCTCTGTTATTAGTAGCTGAATGCACTTCTTGATACAATTTTCTATAATCAAAATCACCTTCAAAAATACCCTGGGAAGGTACCATATTAGACCCACATATCTTCCAACAAGACAGTCTTGCCTCCAGCACTAGAACACATTACTATTCCTATAGTTGAACACTGGATTTACACATAATGTTGTGAAATTATCACACTATAGAAGTCAAATGATATTTGAAAAGAAATGAAAGAGTCATATTTCCATATCCCATTCCCTCTATATTCAGGCTCGTTGAAAGATGTGGGACAGGTTGCCAGAATTAGCAAATAAAACAAATAGAAGCTAGAAGCCACATTAAATTTGAATATTAGGTAAACAATCAATAGTGTAAGTATCTTCTATGTAGTAATTATATTTTAGATTTAGTTTTTTGTCTGAAATTCAAATTTCACTTGGTGTCCTGTATTTTATTTGACAACTCTAGATGGAAAACAGAATAACTAATACTATTTAAATGATCATTCTTCTTTCTCTATTTCTGCTAGCTCTTTCTTTTTCCTTCTTTTCTTTTCCTATCATACAGTTGAATTTATTTAAGTTTAAGGTGTATCTTCAAACTACCGCACAATTGCACTCATCTCACACACTAGCAAAGTAATGCTCAAAATTCTCTAAGCTAGGCTTCAATGGTGTGTGAACTGTGAACTTCCAGATGTTCAAGCTGGATTTAGAAAAGGCAGAGGAACCAGAGATCAAATTGCCAACATCTGTTGGATCATTGAAAAAGCAAGAGAGTTCCAGAAAAACATCTACTTTTGTTTTATTGACTATGCCAAAGCCTTTGACTGTGTAGATCACAACAGCCTGTGGAAAAGTCTTCAAGAGATGGGAATACCAGACCACCTGACTTGCCTCCTAAGAAATCTGTATGCAGGTCAAGAAGCAACAGTTAGAACTGGACATGGAACAACAGACTGGTTCCAAATCAGGAAAGGAGTACATCAAGGATGTATATTGTCACCCTGCTTATTTAACTTTTTTTTTTCAGCCCAGAGACAGGATACAGCTTTATTGTGGGAAAATGCAGCTGGCACAAGTCTGAAATAGTAACAATGTATAACCCATCTAGTTACAACAGCAGGGACTGAGGTTCCCCATACAAATCTGTACTGCCCTCCCTCAGCCTCATGAGTATTCATCCCTTTCACCAACAATCATCTCTGGTGATTAAGCTTGCCACTGGCCACAAAGTAGACACAACTCTTCAGGATGAAGTATTGTGTAGGCGACCCTCTGGTTCCCATCCCAGTCTACACCTACAGAGCACTCTGGGGTCCCGCCTGCTCAGCGGAGGTGGCTTCAGTGGGGGCCCTGAGTGGCACCTTGGGCATTGACTCAGGTGGAGGGCCACTTTCTTCTCGGAGATGGCCCTGGTAGAGCCGGCGAAGGCGGACAGCTCTCTCTCTGGTGGCTGTTTCCAGCTGTACCATGGATACCAGGGGTCACCAGAAACCAGAGTGGGGGCTGGTGGAGTAGCACTCACAGCTCCATGAGAGGTACTGAAGTCAAGGTCCCGGGGTTCAACCTGGGGAATGTGGTAACTGAGGAGACCATGATCCCTGGCTTTCTGGATAGCCTGGGTCAACTTCTTGTGTTGCTTCATACAGACCCCTGTATATGGAGCATGGAAGATGATACCCGTGTGGGCACAGACAAACTGTTTTAAGAGTTTCACGTTCCTAAAGTCAACATGCAGCTTCTGATCCCGGCAGATGGGGCAGGGGTTCCCAGCAACTTTATTTCCATGAATACACATCTTTCGAGTCCACTGTGGGAGTATTCCACCTTTGTGGTTTCGACGGTAGTCAGCCCAGAGAGGGCGAGAACCATAGCGGTTCTGGTATTCTTCTGAGTCCAGGTACTTCCAGGGTTCATCCTCATAAGGGGAAACAGGAATTGGGGGCAAAGAGTCATCCTCTCCGGGGGGGGGGGGGGCTTTGGTGCAAAGAGTCTGGAGGGGAACATGAACTCCGTAGGCACCTCTGAAGGGCGAAATGTTAGGAAGGCACCTCAGCAACACGTTCAATACGGAGGCAGCCATCTTGACGTACCCGCAAAGCCCTGCTTATTTAACTTATATGCAGAATACATCATGAGAAATGCCAGGCTGGATGAAGCATGAAGCACAAGCTGGAATCAAGATTGCCGGGAGAAATATCAATAACCCCAGATATGCAGATGAAACCATCCTTATGGCAGAAAGCAAAGAGGAGCTAAAGAGCTTCTTGATGAAAGTGAAAGAGGAGAGTGAAAAAGAAGTTCAACATTCAGAAAACTAAGATCATGGCATCTGGTCCCATCACTTCATGGCAAATAGATGGAGAAACAATGGAAACAGTGAGAGACTTTATTTTTTTAGGCTATCAAAACACTGCAAATGGTGACTGCAGCCATGAAGTTAAAAGACGCTTGCTCCTTGGAAGAAAAGCTATGACCAACCTAGACAGTATATCAAAACAGAGACATTACTTTGCCAACAAAGGTCTGCATAGTCAAAGCTATGGTTTCTCCAGTAGTCATGTATGGATGTGAGAGTTGGACCAGAAAGAAAGCTGAGCACTGAAGAATTGATGCTTTTGAACTGTGGTGTTGCAGAAGACTCTTGAGAGTCCCTTGGACTGCAAGGAGATCCAGTCCATCCTAAAGGATATCAGTCCTGGGTGTTCATTGGAAGGACTGATGTTGAAGCTGAAACTCCAATACTTTGGCCACCTGATGTGAAGAACTGTCTCATTTGAAAAGGCCCTGATGCTGGGAAAGATTGAAGGTGGGAGGAGAAGGGGACTACAGAGGATGAGATTGTTGGATGGCATCACCGGCTCAATGGACATGAGTCTGAGCAAGTTCTGGAAGTTGGTGATGGACAGGGAAGCCTGGCATGCTGTGGTTCATGGGGTCGCAAAGAGTCAGACACGACTGAGTGACTGAACTGAACTGAAGATGTATCTAAGGCTTAGTCAGTTTGATTCTTGTGCTAATGAAGAGGAAAATTACAAGAATAATGTAAATTTCAAAACAAGGCAAAATTAAGCAATGCATTTTTAAGAGAAGCATACATAGGTGTCAAAATTATAAACAATAGCAAGGAAATAAGTAGCATAAGATCCAGGATTATGGTCACTCCTGAGGGTGAGGAAATGCTGTAGAAAGTATACTAAGGCTTCTAAGGTATTGGTGATGTACTGTATTTTAACCTGCGTGGTAGATACATGAGTGGTTGCTTTTTTAAATTATTAATCCTTAAACTGTAGGTATGTTTAATCTCTTTTTTGTGAATAATACGTCTCACAATAAAAGTGAAAAATAACGCATTATAACCTTACATTATCATATCCTAAAATTATTCCCTGTTTTTAGCCTATCTGCGCAGTTCAATGTTTGACTGACATATTTTTTCCTAACTCAATGAAAATGAAAGTTTTTAATTATATTTATTGCCATTTAATGTTGAAATCAAACTTTTGTTTTCTTGTTCAGGTGTGTCTGCCAATTTGCAGATGAGCCAGTTTCTATAAATAGATGTTCTTGTTTTATAAAACATGGATATAAATCACCTAACTGTGCCTTATATTTTAGCACATAATAGCTGTGTGACAGGTACCAACTGGACACTGGCCAGTTGTTAAGTGACTGTGATCTATATCAATCTCTGCTAAATCAGAGGTGGCCTATGCAAAACTGCACTTGCACCATTCAACCTTGAAATTGGCTGTAAGGCATAGGCTTCTACGGAAGTGATATGTTAAACTTCAGAGATGACATCACATTTTTGGGAAAATATGAACAGGGTCCAACAGACACTCCTAGTAGATTAAGTGTTGGACTTGATTTTTTTAGTAGGATCATATACAATGCTCTTTGCTTTGTGCTGAAGCATTAGGAAGCACAGTCCCGGAGCATAATAATCATACTTTCCTTATGGGCAGATCATTTGTCTGTTCTTAATTCCGGTTACCACTTCAGTAAATATAAAGGGTTTAACTAAGTGATGCTAGTATGTTTTGATTCCACAACTTCCTTCCATCAAAGCATCTTTACTTGCATTATTCCACCTGATTTCTCAGCAACTTTCTGAGGTAGTTAAGGCAAAATATTGCTATCCTCAGTTTAAAGGTGAGGCAACAAAGGCATGTAACTCAATTCAAGGTATACAATTCAATTTAAACAAATTGACCAGTGGGATAGACTAGAGATCTCAGACTCAAACCAACACTATTATTGAAAGTGTTTTAGAACACCTGGTATATAACAGAAGTAGCATTACAAAACAGTGGGGCAGCTTGCACTATTTAATAAACAGTGCTGCAACAAATAATCACCTATATGAAAAAAATGAAATCGTAACTCTACTTCAAACTATCTATATACAACAGTCAATTCCAGAAGGTTTAGGGGCTAATGCATAAAAGACAAAACTTTAGAAAAAATATAGGAGAATATTTTTGTGACCTTGTGGCAGAGAATGATTTCTTCAACAGGACAAAAGGTGTACACCATGAAAAGGAAAATACTAAGTTTGATTGCACTAAAATATAATTATAAAATAAAAACCAACTGGATGGATTAAAAAATCAAGGCTTAAGTGTATTATTTGAATATTAAATTTCACTTATTAGAAAGCTGAAGTTAAAGACTATTATAACAACAATTTTAAGGGAAAGAGAAGGGGAGGTAGAATTAATGAACTCGGATCTTGGCTACATTCAGAGGGAAGACCAAGGAGCCAAATTCATCATCTTTCCTTATGGGTAGCCTCAATAGATACAGATTACAGTTAATAAAGAACTAGAGTATGTAATTAACCTCAAAAGTCCCAAACACAGAAAAGTCAAAGGTCTGAAGGAATGTGTCTGGGAGCAAGAAGGAGGGGCCATTTTACTTTTTATTTTGTACCACTCCGAACTGCTCGAATTTTTATTTCATGTTTATATGTATATCATATAATAAAAGAAATACTTTAATTCAATGAACAGGACAAACAAATGTGACTAGGTTGGAGGCTTTGTCTTCACTTTCTAACTAGAACTTCCTATGTTATACAAGATGATCAAGTTGGCAGGTCAGATATTAAGCATTGCATCTGTTAAGTCTCTGGACAGTTGATTGCATTTTTGAAATAAGGCAGAACCAGGTTGGAAAGTGTTTAAATCCTTCTCTCAAGTCTTCTCTGTTTACATGATTCATAGGGAACAGATGGCCCAGCTGTCTGTATTTAAAAGAAGTGGGTGGTTCCTGGTTTGCAATCAATGAAGCAATAATTACAACAATTTTAAGTAAACTGGACCCCATAAAATGTTGTTTTAATTTGTGAATGAGATGGAGACACAAAGAGAAGGTAGGCTGATTGGAATCTAATCTGCAACATATTCATGAAAGGGTCTTAAGAACTGAAACAGCTAAAACCCTCACTAATCCTCCCTCTTCAATATGCTGGGGAAATTAACTTTGTCCTTAAGTGCTCTTGGACATGGACACACAACCTCACCAGTATAACAGTGTGCCTGTCACTTTGTTCAAAATCCCCATATTTCTTTCTCATCAAGGCCCAGGGAATATTACTGCTGCTCAGGGTTGGCTGACCTTGAGAGCTGGGGAGAGAAAGATGTTTATTTCTACCTCCCAATACCCTTAGCATGTTGAAATGCTATTATTTGAACACTCTTAACCCATTCCCTCCTGAGAATGCCTCTTCCTGCCTTCCCTCAAATGCATGCTGAATAAATATGGAAAAGGAAAGGGTTGCAAGTATTAACAGCAATGATGGAAATAAATCTCGCTCAACTTGGGGGGCTTTGGAACATAGAAATACATTCACATTATTCTTAAGTTGCCTTTTATTTATTGGGTTATTTAAAATGTTTTATCAGCATTCTAATAGAAATTTTTTAAGGGCAGATTCCCCGCTGGTAATGTGTGCTTAATGGCCCAGTTTGTTCAATATGGAGCTGCATACTTCAGCTGTCTGTATGGTTGTAGCAGATTTGTTCCCTTCAATTGACTTATGTCTTGGTGAAATGGTCAGCGTTCAGCTGGATGGGGAATGGCAAGGGATGGAATTATGAAAACTATCTCCTGCCCAAGACTGACCTTGGCGTATTGCAGAAAGGCCATAAACTATAGATGTGGGGGCAGCCTGACTGCTAGATAACATGTAAACTTCCTAGCCTGCCACTTCCTACTGCTTCTTCCATATACCCTATACACAAACCACATTGGGATGTTTGGGAGTATGTTTGTGATTGTGGTTGTCATAGAGCCTGGAAGACTCTACTAGCATTTATGGATGGGAACTGGAGGGATTAAACGACTTGTAATGTACAGCGTAGAATTGTCCTACTCAAAGGAGTGTTCCATTAGCACACACTGAACCAGTTCCCAAGAAGGTAATATTAGAAAAATAACTTTATTTAATGTATATATTCATACACTATATATATAATTCATACACTATGTAATTCAGTGGATTTTAGTAAGGGCTTTGCTTTTTTTGTACCTCCATGTGTCTGCTCAACTTCTGCCTATAGTCTTTCTGCCTATAATCTCCTTTCCTTTCTTGTCCACTTGAAAATGAAGACTAATTCTAAAACTTCCAGCTTAAATGACATCTCTTTGATGCTTTTTCAGGTTACCCAAAAAAGATTTAGCTTCTCTAAGGCAGGAGTTGATAAAGTTTTTCTGTTAAAGGCCAGGTAGGAAATATTTTTGGCTTTGCAGACCATGGTATCTATTGCAACACATCTGCCAGTATAGCACAAAATTATTTATAAACAATAAGTGAATGAAAGGGTGTGTCTATATGCCAGTATAACTTCATTCACAAAAACTGGTGAGCAGTTTGCAAATCTCTGCACAAAATCACCTTGTTCATACTTTGATTACATCAGTCAACACACTGTAATGCATTTAGTAGTATATATATTTGCCTCCTCCATGAGACATGAACATCTTTTTATTGTAGTAGCCACAATGATTAATATAGTGCCTGGAACATAGTAGGTGACCAATCCAAACTGGTTGATTGGATAAGACTGTTGCAGAAAG